AAGTTCCTTAGTAAACAGTGAGGATACAGTGAGTTCATCTAGACAAGAACAATTCTTTTCACGGCTGTTTTCAGTGAATGAAAGGAATTAACTAAATGTTAAATAATATCTAAATACAACACGGAACAGCTCTAAAATGGCCGGGCTGGACTATTTTAATTAACAATGAGAAGCACTTCACTGCATGAGAAGTCCCTCTGAAAGCTACAGAAATAGAAGATTGATGTGCAGCAATGAGATTGTCAAATTTCAGATCCTTGGACCCTTTGAGGAAGAGCCCCATGGATTTATGGAGCCTGGCTTGGATGGTTTGCGCACCAGGTGATGGCTGGAGGTGCAGAAAATTTTTGTCACTGGCATAAAAATCAGTGAGTGGAATTACAGCTTCATCTGCTGCTTTTTGTTTGATGATGAGGAACTGACAGAAGGTGTTTTCTTGCTGTGTAAATTAAAATAATGGAGAGAATTGTGAGTCTGAGGGTGGATTTAGTCAGAAAACCCTCGTTCAGCTCACCTCAGTTATTGCAGGTCTGCAAACCTGAGCTGGGTGGGATTTGGACAAACAGGCAGCTCAAGTCATCCTCTGACAATCACAATTCCAAAATGATCCAGGCATGGAATAGTTGTTGATGTCTTCACGTGAAGAATTAGCTTTAAAAAGAGGGACCGAGGGAAAAAAAGGAAAATAAACCGAGAAAGGAAAAAAAGGAAAATAAACCCAGAAAAAATCTCAGTATGGGAGCTGACAGATATTTGGATTTCAGAGCAGCATTTGACACTGTCTCATGAAATCTTAATTGAAAAATTAATTCAAGTGATCTTGGCAGCAGACAATGGTGTGTGGGTTGAATATTGGCTAAAGCACAAATGAAGAAATGCTGATAAACAGCTGGTAGCAGGATGGGTGGAAATGTCCAGTGGGGTAACACACACTGGTTGCTAGTCTGAGTTTACTTTATATCTTCATTAACGGCTTAGAGAAAAGACATAATTAAGATCTTAATCAAATACACAGTTTATGCTCATCCTGGAAGGTTTGAAATGTCAATAAAGAGAGTGAAATCAAAAAGGATTGATAGGAAACATGGATAAAACATAGCCAAAAAAGATTCATCAAGGGAATGAAGTTATTTTACTGCAAACATGAAACCAACATAAACTCAAAATAGAGTTTATTTTACTTTTTTCTTTATTTTATAGAGTTTTTTTTTTATAGCCAGAGCAACTCAAAAGATGAACAATGGTTTTTCTTTTAGGAAATGGAAGAGCAGCAATGGATAAGAGCATTGGAGGGTGCTACAGGAATTACAAAAAGCAAAATGCGAGTTCAGGATCCAGCACCCTCTGCATCCAGTGGAAGTTCAGCCATGGACTTCAAAGGATTTTGGACGTGGATGGCAGTCCCAGAGCAGGGATTATCTGCAACCTTGCTCTGGCCACAGCTCCAAGAGATGCTCTCCCAGAAAGATGGTGAGCTGGCAGCAAATCAGAGAGCAGGCAGAATAAAAAATGAAGGGGCTTTGTGAGAGCTGAAGTGGGAAGAAAAATGGAGAGAATTAAGCAGTTATAATTTGGCCAAATAAGGAATAAGCAGGAGCACAATAACAGCTTTCAAATGTCTGAGGACATCAGGCTGGATAAAGGATAATAATTATTCACTCTGTTGTGTGGCAGAACGATTTCAACAGGTGAAGGGAATACATTATGAGGGAAGAAAGACTTTTGATGTAAATATCAGGAAATGCTGCATTTTAAGCTGTTGAATAATAGAGGAGATGGAAGTGCTGTGGCCTGGGATTTCTGAAGCTCAGATTGAATGCCAGCTATTGAAATGCAGAGAGGAATCTTTTCAGTTCCCCAGGACACCGGGAAATACATCTGCCCTGAAAAGATTGGGATCTGCTCGCAGGCCCTGCCTGTGCAAGCTCCATATGGTTTAAAGCCCACCCCAGGAGCTCAGAAATATCATAGGATAAATTGTTCCTAATGGTGAATAAACACTCCTCAAATCTCCCAATTGTGGGATCTCCTCCCTGCTCCCACCCCTCTCTGACTGAGATTACAGCCTTTTCTCAAAAGTGGTATTCAATATCTTCAGTTTAGTTTGGTCTATTCAGGCAAAAAAAAAAGGCTTTGCTGGGGTGGGAAATTGAGATATTTGAGCAGTAACACAAAAATTTGTTAGCAGAGGACATTTTTTACCTTGATTTGGCTCAGGCTACTCTTTTTTTTCTGCTAGTAATACGGTCTAGAGTGGTGTAAGGCTTCTTTTCAGGGGTTTTTCCTCTCTGGCCACATTATTTTCTTAGATATTTAGATAATAAAAATTATTGACAACACTAAAAACCATCAGTAAATTCGTTCACTTCCACATGCCCACTCATTCCCACAGCAAGGAGTTTTACTGAAAACATTATGCAAAAAGAAAACGTGAAAATGTGACATTTATTCCATCACAGTTCATGAAAGGAGAGGGAGCTATTTCCATCCAGCAATTCCTGCCTTTTCCCACACTCTGCATTTTGATTCCCAGCTCTCCACCAAATGTAGGAAGCACAGAGAAATTTAAGATGATAAATAAGGAAAGCCTTTTTTTTTCCCTTTCACTGTGAAAAAGGCAATTTTAAATACAGATAAATATTTGCAAACATGGGAAATGCCAGTTCTCACTCGGTGTAAATGATCCCAAGTTTATTCATTTTGATTTCAGCACGACTTTACACTGGAGGAGGAACCAAACCCTGGGATATTGCAGTCTGTGTTCAAGTGTAGGACTTGACTCACTTTAGTACCATTTTTAATGATCAATAATGAGCTTAGGCAGTGTTGAACCAGTTTAAAGATTTTTTTTTTAAATCAAATAAGATTTTGAAAAATACTTTTTTTTGCCATTTCTGTCTTGATTTGATACTAATGCCCAAAGATTTGTGGATTAAAATAGTACCAAGGAAGGTTTTCCATGTCTAAGTGTAAATCAATGTATTTTACTACAGAAAAACAGGTTTTGTACATCTGCAATGCCATAAATTTCTGCCTGGAAAATCAACGTGTCCTGCACTGCAGAAATCAGAGATGAGGAGCTGAATATTCCCTGTCAGTCCAATGCTGAAGGAAAGACAAGGACACAACACCTGAAGCAGGTCAGGAAGGAGCAAAAGCAGGGAAGGGGTGGAATCTGTCCATGGGATATTGCTGAGACCTTTATTGGAACAATCTGCTTCATCTGTAGAGTGAAATATTAAATGTAGGAAATATTTTGAAAAAGGAAGGTTCCTGGAAAAGATGTTTTATGAGAGAAGGTTATGAAGCTGAATGTGTTTGATATGAGAGTGGTTTAGGAGATTACTTTCTCAAAGTCAGGGAAGCACTGATGTGAGAAATCAAGTAATAATAAATTATTAAACCAGTACTCTTGTGATCCTTACCCAAATTCTGAGAGCACCGTGGGCATCAGTGGAGCCCCACAATTCTGGGAGTCAGAGCTCACAGAGGGGGTTCTGTGCTGGTGGTTTATCCTCAATAAATTACATCAATGCTCTGACCTGCTCCTGCCTGAACAGACGTTTAGGATCAAATTCAGACCCAAATTCAATTCAGTCCTGGATATATGCACAAATTATCAAAACCTGGAAAGAAACAGATTAAGGATTAAGGCTGGTTAAATTAAAAAATCAGCTCAAAATTAAAGGGAAAACAATACAGAAACCATTGACTGCAAAATACCCAAAACGACATTCTTGAAAACCAAGATTCTGTATTTCTGCACACTTATGTTATGAACTTAAAAGCATGAATGTGTTTTACTCCTTGCCAGGTTTGTTCTTCTGCTTGGGAAACATTTATTCTGCTCCTTGTTTACACTGAATTTAGAATTAATGTGGCTGTTCTGGTTGAGCAAAAACAACCTTGACTTGTATCAGGCATCATTTTATCATGCCAGGATATCTTGTGCTAAAACATAACATGAACAGAGTTCTCAGAATTAAGCTGGTTAATAATTGCTATATAAACAGGTCAAGGATCAAAAGAGACAGTAAATTCTTGTGAAGGGTGTGTAGATTTTATTTCCAAATTACAATTCTGAAAGCCAGAGCTGTCTTAATGTGAACAAAGTCTGATATGCAGAGGTGGGCTATTGTGGTCTCAGGGAACATTTTTCACAGAATAAAAATCAAAATAAAAATGCCAGTAGTTACTTATCTAAAATAAGGCGTTGTTGGCAGTAGTGAAGTATTTCTTAGGTGCAATAATATTTACTGACAAAATTACATAATCCAAACCCCATTTTCTTGAACACTGCAGAAACACAGAGAAACTCCAGCTGAGAGACTCCAGTCCTGTTTCCTGATGAGTTTTTCAGCCTAAAACCCATTTCCCTGCTCCAGCTTTCCCCCCAGAGCCTGCTCAGACATTGCTCCCATCACTTTCCCCCAGGATTTCCCCAGCAGAGACTCCTCTGGGCTCCCTTTTGCTCTTTTATCTCCTCCAATCTCCCTTTGAGTTCTCCCTGAGAGGTTCCCCTCCCTCCAGTGTAGGGCATGGTCACCTTGGAGCCCTTAATGTTAATCCCATTCCTCAAATCTGAAATGTTTCATTTCATGGAATTGAGAACATTGTAACAACACATTCCTTACGCTGGAATGGTGAGCAGCTGGAGTCAGCCAAGTGTCAGCTCCAGCTGAACTTCCCTGGGTTGTTTCACACGGCCAAAATTCAGGATATCGGTGGCTCAGACTCCAAATTTTGTAATGCAGGTGGTAAACACACACAGGGCTGAGAATAAAATGGACTGACAAGGTGAGAGTGAAAGTGCTGCAGATCTGCTGAGAGCTGAGCCAGAGGAGTTTCTTCAGCTGGAATTAATTTTTAGACATTTTCTTTCTGGAGATTTGATATTCAATTATTTTATTTACAGAAAATAGTATTAAAAATAATAATAATAATAAAAAAAAAACCGAACCCTATTTTCTTTTTTTTTGTCAGAAAATGGGAAGTAGAAAAGGAAACAGTTCAGTGCTCCAGCAGCTCACTGAGCAGAACCAGCCCTTTCTCACTGATATCCCACACTTGAACAGCCAAGCAACACCAGGCATGAAAACCAAATAACTGAGGTATTCTAGATGTCAATATTTCTTTATTTCTAATTAAAGCAATGTGGGATCTAAATTCCATTTTAATGCAAGTCGACCCCGTGAATTAAAACCACAAACAGTTCTATAAAACATTTACATTAACATGCACGTACTTTTTTTGGGACCTTGGAAAGGATTTTAAAACAAATACAAAGCTCTAGTGCTATCAGTGACTATAAAAAAATATAGAACAGGGAAAGGTCTCAGCAAAGTGGGAAAAGCACAGATGTGCAAACACAGCTGAGCAGAAATGTGTGTGGGGTTCATTCACGTGTTTGCCAAAGGGTCATTGCTGCAGGACGTTATTTACAGATAAAAACCAGCACATCCTCGCAGTCATGTGGTGCTGCTGGCTCTGAGCCTGCTGCTTATCCGACAGGTGAACCAGAAATTCTGGGCAGAAATAATGTGGCTACCGTGGTAGTCACCTCCTGGCCGAGGGAAACCTTTTTTGTTCAAAGAAAGAAGCAGCCAGACAGGAAATCAGCTCTCAAGGTTGGTCTTTTCTGCTTCCTTTTTAGATTTATGAGTGCTAATAGTGAGGTGAAAGTGCTGATGTGATCAGACAGGCAGGTTTGAGTAAATAAACCAAGCCCTGCTGAGCCCCCTCATTTCTGGGTTAATTTGGTGCCACCGCCCTGGGTGTGACATTTCTGGGGGCACAGGATGAGAGCAGAGCAGCTGGAGGGGCTCCAGTCGTGTCCTTCAGTCCTGAACTCTGCACTGTCCCCTCAAAGGTCCCACAGGGATTGTGACACTGCACCAGAGCAGCGTTCAGAGGGCGTTCAGAGCTGCAGCAGCCACGGGAATCCGGGAAAAGTGAGGAAATTGCACCCGGAGCCTGGGTGTGGACAGCTCACAGGGCAGGCACTGGTGGTGCCAAGGAGGAAACTGGGGGTTCCTCCTCTGTGGGAACCCCAAAAGAGAATTGAGTGATTGCTTATGGGGACAGATGTCGTGGTGTTGGCCCTTGATGTATGTAAAATGTAGAAAGGAATTCTGGATCACAGAAAGGAATCCTACAAAAATTTGGGTTGGAAGGGACCTTGGGTTGGAAGATGACCCAGTTCCAAACCCAGCCATGAGCTGGGGTGATTCCCACAGGATCAGTTTGTTCAAGGAATGCTCTGGAGAATGGATAAACTCTTAAATCTATTGCAATATTCTGCAGTTCTGTTTTAGTACTGAGAGCTCACCTTAGACACCACAAAAAGGACCCATAAACACCTCTGGATGGTACTAGGGGTCACTGAGAGACCCTACAAAATGTGCAGACACAGGGAAAGCCCAGCTTGTGTGGGGTCACCCGTGTGCAAGGGGGACTGGAGTAGGAACAAGCTCTGCTTGCTCTCTCCTTGCAGAGGAGGAAGAGACATCATTTAAATCTATCGTGGTCAAAAAAAAACCCAATGTCAACCTTAAAACTGCACATGAATATTTGGGGGACAATTAGCATTAGGTGGTGTAAATGAACAAGATAATGAAACTGCAAAGATTATTTTATCTTTAAAATGTTAGTGGGACATCAGGTTGGAATTAAAATATTTTAAATGTCAGTTGTTTGATCCCACTGGGAGTTTTTCCAGTCACCAAAAATCCAGCCATACCAATGCACTCACATCTGTGTTGCAGTTTGCAGCTCCATCTCTGCTGATTCTGCTCCCAGTGGGTGTGCAAGGCGTGGTACAAACCCCAGAAATGAGCACAACCCTGAGCTCATCTCCTGCTCCTCCAGGGGAACAGAGGTGGTGCTGACCAGAGGGTTGATCTTTCAAAGCGTTTTCCTTGGTGCTGCAGCCGTGCCATGATCAGCAAAGCTCAGATGCTGAAATTGCCCATTGTTCTGGTGCTGTTTCACTCGGTGCTCCTGAGGTTTTGGGGCTGGGGAAGCTGCTCGGGGGGAGAAAATCCTTGGTCCCAGCTCAGCGAGGCACTGCTGATCCCCCAGAGCTGTTGCAGTTCAAAATCCCAATAATTACCATAACCTGCCTGACAGAACTGAGGAGTGGCTCTCCCTTCTTCTCCACCTTCCTCAGGACACGGAAATTGCACTCAGCTTTTCCCTCCTGCCTTCCCTTTCCTCTGCCATGACCCCAGGGCTGGCACAACTCAGTTAATCATTGACAGCTCTGGGTCACTGCCGCAGGTAACTCTGCTGATCAACACATGTGATCCTGAAGAGGCTGAGCCTTGAATCTTCACATTCTTCCTCCTGGGATTAATCCCATTTTATGCATTTGTGCTCAGGTCTTTGGATCGTGGAGAAGCCGGGCTGCTCCAGCATCCCAGAGCTCCTCATTTCCTCAATCTTTGCACAAACGCTTTTCCAGAAGCAGCTCTCTTGTTTCAGTGAGCAACAGCAGCAAATCATTGAGTTGCTAAGGATTTTGAGAAATGAAGTTCCCAGGCTTTCCCAGCTGTAAAACCCTTGGAAAGGCTTCTCTTCCCTTTTCTACACTCGGTTTTCTCTGGCAGAAGCGTGGCTGTTACACAGCAATTTTCTTTCCATGTTTTTAAAGTGGCTGATTTTAATTTGGATGTATTTTCCCCTGCAAATCCTTTCAGTCAATATGGAATTACATAAAGCAGCTTTTTGAGGAGAAATTATATCTGTAGAAGTTTCCACTGAGTATGTGTGTGTGTATTTTACACAATTTATTTTTTTTTTAATGTCTTGGCACTATCATTCTCGATGGCCTGCACTCTACCAGCCTGACTTCAAAGTAATACAATGAAATAATGATGCAATATTTTTGATCCTTCCACGTGAAGAGTGATGCCTTCAAACAGGACAGGGTCAACAAAGTGGAGGGAAAATAATTTTTTTCTTATCCCCAATGGAAATGGGATGTTCAGCTTTGTTCTCTGCCCATTTCTGCTGCCGTGGTGCCCATGAAACAACACCTCCAAGAGCCCATTTTGGCTGGACTGAACGTTAATCACTTTATGTTCTGAATTGTGAGCTTTCCCCATATTCAGGATTTTTATCTTGATGTTTGTGCCCAGCATATCCCAATCCTCTGAGCACTGTGCCCATGGCAGCTTTTGGGGCCCTGCACCCCCAAAAGGCTTTTCCTGGTCCAAAAGGAGCAGAACCAGGTGCACTTTGACATTTTTCAGAGCTCTTGCTGTCTAGAAGATATTTCTGTTTGCTCTTTCTGAATTTTTTCATTATTTTCTCTCCTGACTGAAACTGAATGCAAAATCAAGAGGATGAGCAATTACAGCAAACTTTTATTTGGGGTTTATCTTTTTTGCCATTAACCATTGTTGGGTGGTTTTGAAGAATAAGCAGTGCACTTTTACTGTGCTGTTTAGATTTTTTTTTTTTTTTTTTAGCAGTCAAACATCCATCTCTGAATCTACCAGTATCTTTAATGGTAGATTCATAACTCTTCATCTGAGTGAAAGTTCCTCTGCTATTTTTTCCAGTTGGATACATTTGCTGGCTTATTTCCAGGCCGAACATCTGCACACATGCATGGCATCACTTAAACCTTCAAATTTATTTCAAATTTAAAGATTGTTTTTTTGGTGCTGATGCCATTCACTCACAACAGCAACATTTTCCACAGCAGCATCGTGGTCCCCAAATTTTTATTTATTTTTTTACATACACATAAGGGAAAAACAGGTTTTATCTACCTTGCAGAGCTTCAGACTCACAGGATGTTTAAAAGAAGAAAAATGCTTTTGTTCTGATTTATGTGAAATCACAAGAAATGCAGATTCCCCCCCTTGGGATATCTCAAATGAAGTGGAAGCACGTGGAGACTCAGCTCCCTCCATGTGTGCCCCGATTGTTTTGGGGGTGCTGCTGCAGTTTGAGGCAGCCTGAGCTAAAACAAGCACAAGGATTTATTGCAGCAGGGAAGTGCAGAATATTTGCTGAGTAAGCCAGGACTTGCTGCATTATGCCAGAGATTTAAAGGGACAAAAAGGCCCCATCCCAGCAGCAAATCTCAGGGCAGTCCACATTAACCTCTCTGTGTGTTGAGAATTAGAGTTTTTTTCTTCTCCTTTGTTTTCTCTATCTCATGAATGGGTTTTAATCCATGGCAGAAATTTGCCTTTTACCCTGCACTTTTCAAATTTCCCTAATAGGCTTTGGGGATGGATTGGGTCAGAAGCCTTCTGAAACAACCCCTGAATGATCTCCTTGGGTTGCTTTTATTCTGTGAACCTCCCTGACAGCACTCAGCAGATCTGTGGGGCAAGTTTTTGAACCATTCCAAAGGGAGGGGAAGATTTACATCTTTTTGTCAGTGTTCTGGAGTTCAATATTCCCATTTATCAGCCCATCTGAGATACTGAACTTGGCCTAGCAGGAGCTGCTTGTTGATAATTTAGATCATTACGAGGAAATCTGAGGATGTCCAACATAATCATATTCTGTGAAAGGACAAATTCACACCTCGGTGAAATAGATGGACAGGAACGGGCTAGGAAGTGCTGCTGGGATTTTCAGTAGCTCAAAATCTGGTTGTATCCTTTGGGAGACTATTTTAAGAGGAAATAAAAACATTGTGCAGCACACGATCTGTCACTGAAGTGTGCTCCATTAGCCAGGACAGCCCCAGCCCCACCTGGGAGCAAAATAACCTGAGCTGTGTTGCTGGTGTTGTAACAACTCCTGAGCTGGTGTATTCCCACTGAGGTGCATGAAAGAAAAGCAACTTTTCCTTTCTTCTTTTCAAGCTGAGCTAAAAGCTTTTTGTCTTGGAGCACTTTGAGGGAAGGCAGGAGAATGTGTGTGATGCATCAGTCGAGCAGGAAAGCACACGATGTGGAAAAGCTACTCAGCATCAGGGAAAAAGTTCAAGGGTAGTTGGGGAAAAATCCCAAAATCTTTGGGAATATTGAGAGGAGAATGAACAGTCAGATGCTCAGTGATGTAAAAATTCACCTAAATTATATCCAAATGTGACTGTGAGAGATTTGATCTAAATCTAAAGATTTGGGGTCCTGGTTTGGGTGGTGGGATGGTCTCATCTCTGGTGCTACAAACCCATAAAACTGGTTTTATCCAATCATCTGATTTTATGAGGGAAAGGATCAGGATCCAGCCTTGAATCTTAGCCAAGTTTGCCTTTTCCTTTCTCACATGGAAGGCTGGCAGGTGCTGGGTTCAGCAGCAAAGCAAAAGGAGCAGCTTTTCACGGCTCATGGAGTTTTTAGCGAAGGCAACGAACCTGGCGCCAGATGTTCTGGACGCTGAATGTTTACAAGGTTGCAAAAAATGCTCAGACGAATTCAAGGAAGAAAAATCTCAGGGTGGCAATAGGAGACAAAAACATCACCTCTCACTGAGATGCAGGTTTTCATGGATTGGAAGTTTTATTGTGTAATTCTGTGCTTTTCCTGCTCTTTTCATTTACTTTTGCAAACTTCCCAGGAACTTGGAGCAAGTCCAGAGGAGGCACCAGGATGAGCAGAGGGATGAGAAACGCTCTAAGGCTGGGAGAGCTGGGATTGTTCAGCCTGGAGAGGAGAAGGCTCTGGGGAGACTTTATGTGGCCTTTTGGTAGCTGAAAATGGGCTAAAATAAGGCTGGAGAGGGAATTTTTATTGATGGAGGGGCAGGACAAGGGGGAATGGCTTTAAACCAAAAGAGGGGAGGTTTAGACAGGATATTGGGAAGGAATTGTTCCCTGTGAGAGTAGGAAGCCCTGGCACAGGGTGCCCAGAGCAGCTGTGGCTGCCCCTGGATCCCTTTGAGTGCCCAAGGCCAGGYTGGACATTGGGGCTGGAGCAGCCTGGGACAGTGGGAGGTGTCCCTGMCATGGCAGGGGTGGCRCTGGAGGGGGATTTAAKGYCCCTTCCACCCCAAACCAATCTGGGATTCTGGGATTCTATGATTTGTTGTTTTACCTTCGCTCAGACTCTGCATGGCCGTTATTATTATTCCTCTGCAATTAACACATCTCTTTAGTCAGACATAGTGGAAAATTAATTTTGGGTCATTCCACTCTCTGAGGTGCTCAGTCCTGTAGAAAAAAGTCTGCTCAGCTTAGATGTGATTTACTTAGGAAACGTGCAGTGTCGGAACCTGAAAATAATGAATTTCTTTAGAAGTTAGGAAGAAAAAGAAATARTTTGGTTTTGGGTGAACTGTGCAGTGTTTATATCCTAAGGCTGTGCTGGCGGATGATTTATTTTTAATTATTTTACTTTTATGGCTTCATTTTCAKGTTTTTAATACTTTTATTTTTACCGTTTATTTTTATTCTTTTTCCTTCCCGAATTTCATGACCAGCAAACATTGCTGGTGGGTTTAAAAGCGC